AACTGACTTTCCGAACAACCCGATAGAATCACATTATTTTAAAAATAATCCTTGCTATATCAATAAATAATTCGTGAAAGGAGTTTTCAAAATTAGATTGTAATTTAAGCAGGGACGTGATTTATCTGACTTTGAAATAGTTCCACTTAAAATACAAATATAAAATGTATAAATGAATTATTTAATTAATTCATTCAAACACCCTGTGACTAGATTTTACTCAAGTTCTCTTAAATTGTCATAGATTAACATTAACATCTACGTAATTAAATTAATTTTTCTACCTTTTCATGGCCCTTTATTTGTCGTCCTTGTAATGATGATTCCTTTGTCCTGAAAATTAAAATACATTTATTAATTGTATTCATAAATTTATTTCAAGATGAAATTAATACTATTAAAAAACCATTTTGGTGATTAATTAACCGTATATGCTCATCCGTTCAATGCTTAATTAATAAGAAAATAACAAGTGTAAACTTATACCCATAAATTCAACAATAATTTTCCAGGACTGTGCAAAAGTTAATAACAAATTTCATACTTCAGAAATAATAATAGATGTAATGATTTAACTCTTTAACAAAGTTTTGAATTTTTTTATTTAAATTTTAAATTAAATTAGTGTTAAAAATGATTAATATATATTCAGATTGAGTGTTATTAAGTGTTATAAACTTCTTCACTTCATATCAAATCCTGATAATTTTTTGGGTAGCCATAAATGGAATTATTTGTTTACAATAAATAGATCACTGACGGAAATAAGTCTCCCTGTATATTTGCAACAAAATACCGATTGCTTTAATACTAATAGTACTAATTTAAAACATACAGAAATTTTTATTAAGTTTCCCAGAAAGGACTCTTTTATTCACAAATGAAAAGTTAATGTATTCAACAACTGACATTATTAGAAACGTCCTGTATATAATAATTTAAATGCTTTTTATTATGCTATTCTTACCTAATTATTTTGTGGAACATTTCTTTATAAACATCAAATAAACAACATAAAACACGCTTACATAACGAATTATTATTCCCACGTGAAACACACAACCACACACCGATTTGCGAAGAATAAAACTGATATAATGTTAGATAAATTTCTTCTGTAGGCCGATCTCGACCTCTAACACGTCGTTAAGGTCGTACCGAAATAGTCTTTTTATCTATTTGCTCACTTTTTTTTTGTTTTTAGTAGTGTTCAGTAAAAGAAATAGAGACGTCAAGATTGTAAACTTGTATATACAGGGTGTATAGTACGAGACTGTCACATTTTTCATTCTTTTCCTAGTTTTACGAATTTTTTATGTAAATATGACCAGAAAGGGACAAAAAACTCTTTATTATGTAAAAGCTACTGCCAACGTTTCGACCAAAATTATTGAAAAATTGAAAAAGCCCAATAATTTAGGGCGAAACGTTGGCAGTCGTTTTTAGATAATAAAGAGCTCTTTGTCCTTTTTTGGCTTTGATTACTTAAAAAATAAGACAGCGTTACCGTGTATTTTTTAAAGGTAATTGATGCTGAACCTGACAACTGTGATAATGCATTTGCTTATATTCCTGACCTCGGGGGCTACGGACTAGTTGTCTATTCCTGGGCTAAAAACGACTCATGGAGAATACATCACAATTTTTTCCATTTCGAACCCCTATATGGAGATATGACTGTTGGAGGGGTAAATTTCCAATGGACTGACGGAGTATTTGGTTTAGCGTTGTCCGATAAAAAAGATAATGGGTAAAAATGGAAATATGTTCATAAAAATATTTTTTAATTTATTCCAAAATAATCTTGCCCTTACTTTTTAATTAAATATTTTTATTGGTACTGATCTTGGCAAAATTTGTTGCGAGGTGTAGACTAATTGCTTATTTATCAACATTTCGGCTAAAAATTCAGTCTTCTTCAGGGATATAAAAAAATGGTTGCACTGTAGTCATAACGAATTTTTGCAAGAGCAGTACCAATATAAATATTTCATTAAAAAATAAGCAAGAGAATATTTTAGATTTAAAAAGTCTTTAAAAGTACAGTTTTAATATCTTTATGACATTAGAAAAAAATAAATAAATTCTAGCATTTTAAATTGTAATTGCTCAAACTAATTTTAAGGAAACTTCTTTGTTTTTTGTTTATTATGATTCAACATTATTTTAAGGTAGAGGTAGAGGATGAAGAAATATGTTGAACGTAAAGAATTGTATTTAAATTAGACTTTCCAAAATAACAAACTAAATTTTCTTTTTTCAGTTATAAAACTCTTTATTTTCACGCTCTGGCCAGTGTAAGAGAATTTTCAGTGTCTACAGAAGTTTTGCAAAATGAGACTGTTGCTACTGACCCCCACAATTACTACCAATTTAAGGCAATGCATAAAATAAAATCAATAAAGATTCAGCAATTATTTGTTAATTTTTTTAGCTGGAAGGATATAAGGGCGAAAAATCACAATCAACGACCAGTGGTTTCGATGGAAAAACTGACGTTCTTTTCTTAACTCAAATAAGCAAAGATGCAATTGGATGCTGGAACACCAAAAAGCCATTGAACGAACAAAATCTAGGAATTGTAGCCCAAGACAATGAGAAATTAATTTTCCCTAACGATTTAACGGTAATAGGCAATTTTTTGTACTCATTTTATTCATTTTTTTTTAAGAAACACTACTGTAACACTTTGTAGTACTTGTAGAAGTAAAGCATGCATTGATTTTTTATCTTTATTGCAGATTGATCAGGAAAGAAATTTGTGGGTATTATCTAATAAAATGGCAAATTTCATATACAGAGGATTAAATACCGATGAAATTAATTATCGTGTTTTGAAAACTACAGTAGATGATGCAATTTCATCAAGTGCAGTGTGCCAGTCTTAATTCTAAGTATAAAAATATAGTTTATAAATTCCTTATCCACTCTTGTAAGCACAAATGCACAAAAATAAATTGTTTTCTGTATTCTTCAGTTTTTATTTATGTGCAAAAAGTCTCCAAAAAGTCAAATTTTAAAATTAAACTATTCTCTACATTGTTCTTGTTGTTCAATTTTACTCTCAATTTTTCTAGACACTAAAACTCAAAATTCCACATAACATTTTAAAAACCTGAAACAGTTATCAACACTATTTAAAGTGACATCCTTATTTAGAGACTCATATTTTAACTGAAGATAACACATTGGTTGCTAAAATGTATTTTTGGCTTTTTAAACACTTTTATACGGAATTTTCGTTTAGTGATTTAACTTTCTTGTATTTCTTGTTTATAAAATTAATATTACAATTCAAAAGTTGTATATTGTAAATTGAAGTATATTTAATACTAGAAGACTATAATACATAAGCAACAGACAAGATTGTAATTGTAATTTTTTTATTTATTAAGCAACAAGTTCTTTAACAGAATTTACAATAACAGGAAACTTATTAGACTTAATAAACAATACTTTCCTATAAGGTGTCATTTCAATATCATCTTCCGTCCATTTGCCTCCAAGTCCTGTGTCTGTTTGACCGGCTACTGATAATTCAAAAGAAATTTCACATTCCTTACAAAATATTATTTCTTCTTGATTAGTGTAAAACTCTTCTTGGGCTAAAATTAAATAATCAATTCTGAGTCTTAAAAAATATGTAACTACGTTACTTTTTCCATTTTTGTATGTTTTGCAAACTGCTATAAGATAGTCAAAATTATAAGATGAGTCTTTCTTTGAGACACTTTTTAGTTCTTTTTCTAATGAACTTAATAAGGGATCTGCAACCTTTGGAGGAATGTTTATAAAGCGTTCATTAAGTAAGAGACCAACTTTTAAGGATCCTGATAAAATATCTTTGACTCTATCTAAATCATTTCCTTTTAAATATTGACTTGCTAAATCCTTCAAGTAACTAAACAGTTCTTGTACTACAGATGAATTCTAAAAATTGTTTGTATGTATATCTACAGCAATAACAACACAAAGTATTGAAAATTTACACTTTTTGCTGATAAATTTACTATTGTGGAAATACCAAAAACTTCTGATTCATCAACCAGATCTTCATCATCTTCATCATCATAATCATCAAAACTTTGTTTCAAAACACTTCCTACGCCTTTCTGGTTTAAAATAAGTTCAGTTAAAGCCCCTAAATCAATATGTGCTTTAAGAAAAAGCTGATGCAGTAGCTGTTTGATACCATGGAAATCTTCATATTCCGGATTTCTTCCTTCAAAGTCAGCTTGAATTTCGGTCTAAAAAAATTATTGTTTCTTTAAGACAACTATTTTATAACAAATAAGATATGTATTACTTGTTGAGTAGTATCATTTGATTGATTTTCGGCCACTAAACGTTTCTTCTGTGGACCTGCCATTTTCAGGTTATAGTTGCATGTGCTAAACAAACTATGATAATGGCTATGGTACCAATGTTCTCATAATAAGTTCGCAACATTCAGTAAAGTTGAAAAATGTTAAATTAAAGCTAATTTGAAAAATCAATTCATAATAGTTTTGCTTTAATGTCATTAGAATTTTCAAATCTTTAGCGTTCTTTTTTTGTGTTGTTTCTGTTAGTTGTCTTAATGTAAACACGACCACCAGTTCTTATCCATATAATAACAACAATTCTACATCGAAAATGTATTTTTTAACAATAAAACAAAATAATGGCAGTATTTGTTGTTAAATTAATTAAAAATTATAGGTCTACTTAAAATAATTTGTTTTAACATTACTTTCTATTAAATTCATCAGTTTTAAATATTCGTTTATTTATATACTCCGTTTGAAACAGTTTCCATCTCTTTTTAATAGTTGTGGGAAGAAAAACAAATATGGATGTGATTTTGGATGTGATCACAAAAAATTAACATGTTTATTAAGCAGTTATTTGCTTTGTTTATTTAATGTGCTCGTGAATGTTAGAAGTATATATTATCTATCTGTTTAAATTGAGTGTAGTTTTAGTGAATTAGAAGATACAAACTTAAGTCATGGAATTAGGAGATAGAGTGTATGCGGCAGAACGAATAATGAAGAAACGCATTAGAAAAGTAAGTAGTTGAATTAAATTGTTTGATATATTTAACATGAAAATTGTGTTATCTTCTATAAATTTCTGTATTATCAAAAACCAACTCATTAATATTGTACTGTAATGGCGCTTTTCGAGAATTTAATAAATATTTACATTCTTAATTTTGGAAACTTTTTAGTTGTTAATCTAAAGAAAAAACTGTAGAAATGTAGACAGATACTAAAAAGTTCTAATTCATCATAGTTTATCCATTATTTATTTGTTTGATAACGTACTGCAAAACATTGTAAGCATTTTATAATTTACATTATCTGTAAACCACAACACAGACTTACAGGTCTTCTGTAAATTTACATTATTTTGTATTATTAGAGATGTTACATGAAATAAATTAATTTATAGGGAGTTGTTGAATACCTTGTGAAATGGAAAGGTTGGAGTCAAAAACATAACACTTGGGAACCTGAAGAAAATATACTAGATGTTCGGTTAATAGATCTATTTGAAAGGTCTTTGGTCAAATCGGATACTCATAAGAGAGGTCCTAAAAAGAAGGACCGCAGTAGTGAACCTGTCCAGCAAGCTGAGACAGAAGATGAGGCACACAACAGTGGAGAAGAAAGTCAGGATGAAACAAACCAACCAATTAAAAGTACAACTAAGGAAGATAACCTGCCTGCAGTAGAAGATGAAAATGCCAGGTCAAATGCAGAAAATGATAACGAAGTTAGTGAACAAAATAAATTGGAATCAGGTATTAATGTAGAAGTAGAGAACACAAACAGTTCAAGCAGTGAAGACAGGCCAATATTGGCACGATTAGAGAGCATAGGTACTAAGAGGAAGGCAGAAGTATTGTCAAAGGAGTCTGGGAAAATTGGAGTTACAATAACTACAAGCCCTACAAGCAGTAGTCCACCTCCAGCTAAAACAGTGAAACTGTCGTCAGTAAAGCAAGCATCAGGTAATTCTGCTTTTTAACTTATGCACTTGTAAAAAAGAATCTGTAATTGTACTCATTTTTCTTGATTATTTAATACGCTATGTTTTTAAAATTCAAAAGTTCATATGAAGGACTAATTTAAACAAATAATATTAATTTCATTAATTCAGTCCAAAGGAAGACACAAAAGATTAATTTTGTCATTATTAATTAATATTGCTTTCTGTATAGGTACAAATTCTAATGCGAAAGTGCCAGAAGAAGTTTCGGACATTCCTTCGGCTTCAAGCCCGGAAGTGCTGACTGCGGCCGTGGCGCCCGAGTGCAAAATAACGGACAACGGACACAGTGTGTGTGCCGAGACGGGCGACTCTTCCCCTTTACTCACTAGTCCGGGTTCGGACTATTGGTTGGCCCGGAATCCCGTTGCCGATCAAGTGTTTATCACTGACGTTACGGTCAATTTAAAAACAGTTACGATTCGTGAGTGTAAAACCGAAAAGGGTTTTTTTAAAGAACGCAGTAGTGATAGCAAACCCAACGATGTGGTGTGAACGTGCGATTAATTGATGAATTCTGGGCCACAAAATTAAGTCTGCATACGTACCTAAATAATGCTAGTAGTTAGTGTAACACGGGAGGGTAGAAAAAACCGATTCGGTTCAACTACGGAAGTAGTTACAGTTTTATTAGGCTCTAAAAGAAACAATCTTTTATTATCTGAAATAAGAAATCTAGTACCTAGTAATTGTCAGGAATAAAATACAAATTAATACTTAATCTCAACTTTGTTTAAAGATAAAAAACTAAATTGGGGAAGCCCCTACAATACTGATTTCTGAAGTCAATATTTATCTAAAAGGTGTTGCTTTTTAAAACTTTTTGTGATTTTTCAGATTCTTTTAGAGTTTAATGCATGAATCGATTTCGTGATTGAAGTAAACTTTTAAATGACTGCAAGTTGGTCTAATGTGCCTCAGTGTGGTACAATTGATAAAAAAGTTATTGCAGAAACAGGGTAGCTCAAATGAGCGGTGTGTTGTAATTGAAAATAAACCAAATGTCTTATATTTAAGACGTGGAAAGTGGCAGGACACTCGTGTACTGGTGCTGAAACCCCAAACTCTTTTAATTTATTTATTAAATAATTAATTGATTATTTAATTCCAGTCGTGAACTAAGTTTTAAGAAAACTTTAAATTTACGTTTCATTTTTTATATTTATTTGTACATTTATTTTTTTCTAATTTATTATCATGAAATATTAATTAATAGAATTGGACTTATTGTGTTGATGATTAAATAAGTGATTTTCTATTTTGGTAACACAATAGATCTTTTCTATTATGGGTCGATTTTTGATGATTTTTAAAATGAAGAAGATGCATTGTGTATGTATTTTTAATTATTTAGACATATTTATGTACCTATCTATTTTTATAAGGTCTTTGTTGGATGCTTCTGAGCAAAAATAAACTGCATATACTCTACACTACTCTTAATTTTCTTTTCTATTACATAACACAAATACAAATCGATAATGTGAATAACTGTTGACTTTTTTGGTTCACACTAGCGAGTGTCTACTATAGTTAAGGTAAATGTGTCTAAAAAAGAAACAATTTATTCAATATGAAGGTACAAAAAATAAATGTTAACGTGTAGGTACACTGATAATAATGTAAAAATATTTGCATCATTTGTATATAATTTGTGTAAATGTTTTTATACATATACATATATATTTAATTATTTGACCATATAAAATACAATAAGGGGAATAATCTGTAATATTTTACAAACAACTTAGAAAAAACTATCTTTTTATATAATTGGTAAAAAATTTGATAACTTCATTCTAATGAGAAATACAATTGCACTTAAACGAATATACAGTGTGTAAAAGTATTAATTACAGTGGGCAAAAATAACAGTAAATAGAGAACAACCATGAATTCATTATAATTTTTTGTTTTTAGCGAATTTTTCTAAGAATTAATTACCAGATCAAGAACACGTAAACTGTTATTGCCTAAATTTTTCTCAATGAAATATTGTTACCGCATTTCTAACGTTACTATTTTAATTAGTTCTGCCTAAGGAAATGTTTAAGGTGTAAACTTTAACTTTTGTATTTAAACTAAAGTCAATTTAACTTTGTAGTCTTCGAGACCATTTCTTTTACGTCTAATATTTATCATACTTTAATTGCTGCAGGAACCGAAAGACTATTGAATCTATGAAATCGTTTACCTTTTAAGCTTTCGATGTTTTCAGTCAGGGTCACTTTCTTAGAAAAGAAATCCACAAAGGGAGGTGTGTTCAATGTAGAAGCAAGAAATTGTTCCACTGTTATATACCATTCGATGTCCCCCACAATACATGGATTGCCATTTTTGTCTGGAGACTGAAACACATTGTTATATAAAAGTAACATCAACATTATTACCCATTAACATTACACTCACAGTTTCTGATGATTCAAATCCTAAACTATCACAACTGTCTTCTCTTTTAACAAAAAATTGTCTTCCAACATCTCCCAGTTTAAAAAGCAGGGCACAGGAATGTGTTATAGAGTCGTTAGCTTCCTAAAATAAATTATTTATGTTTATTATTATTTATTAAATGAAGAATTTTAGGGTGGGTACAAAAAATTTATATTTACCTGATCAAAGGGTTGTGTTTGGAATAAATCATATAGCGTTTTCCACAGGGCTATAAAGTAGGGTTGTGTCATTTTTGGTAGAGATTTCAGATTGCATCTACTCTCTTTTGAAAGGATGATATTTCGAAG